AAATTCTGAATTATCTTCTTATCATGTGTTTAACGCAGCTAAGGCAATATTCGGAGAGCAAGAATGGTTCTTTTTTAGTCCAAGAGATAGAAAATATCCTAACGGGGCGAGGCCAAATCGGGCTGCAACATCGGGTTATTGGAAGGCTACCGGAACCGACAAGCCGGTTTTTACTTCCGGTGGAACACAAAAGGTTGGGGTAAAAAAGGCGCTCGTTTTTTACGGCGGTAAACCACCAAAAGGGGTAAAAACTAATTGGATCATGCATGAATACAGAGTTGTAGAAAATAAAACAAATAACAAGCCACTTGGTTGTGATAATATTGTTGCCAACAAAAAAGGATCTTTGAGGGTAAGTCCTAAATTTTGCATCGAAACTAATTTCTCTATCGTATCAGATAGGGATAAGATATACGTATACTCTAATCTCCTTGAACCCCACAAGTACTATACTAGATATGTTGTTGTTGTAGATGACTTGATTCAACTTTCAAATTTTTGATGAAAATGTTTAAGTTATATATACATATATATATAGGCGGAGCTAAAAATTTCGATAAGGGGGTTTAAATCTGAAAAAATGGATATACGAAATAGCCGAAAGAGGTTCGACATAGATTATTTTAACCATATAAAAATAATACAATTTTCATATATATATACGCGTGGTTAATATGAGGAATATTTTATACTATTAATGTACTTTAACCAGGGGCGGCTCTAGAGTTGATGAACCCTCTCAGCGAAAATTTACGTTGTATATTTAAGGTACCTTTTAATAATTTTTGTATTTATATATTAATTTTGAACCTCTTGAATATAAGATTAGACGTTGACTTAGTGGTTTCAGGGGTTCAAATCACTATTCTTTTTTTCCTAACCCCCTTAATGAAAATCCTGAATCGGCCACTAACTTTAACTGGTTATAGAAGGTTAATCTTACTAGAAAAAAGCATGAAATTCTAACCGACAAAGATGTAGTCGCCCAGTTAGATAAGACGTTTAAATTGGGACGGATAGAGTTACTTTATTTTTCACTGTCATATGTTACTATATATTGACACTTCACTTAAAGAGTTATCATATCGATATTTTTACTATTAGTGTACATAACACAAACTCGAATAAATTCAATGTTTCATTAGCTAGTTAATTAGTCTAACTTTTTTAAAAAAAAATATTTTTCTTACTCCACACTATTTTATTTTATTTTTTTGCAGCTAGATGATTGGGTTTTATGTCGAATTTACAAGAAGAATAACACACAAAGGTCCATAGATGATTTGCATGATATGTTGGGATCGATACCACAAAATGTACCAAATTCAATATTACAAGGAATAAAGCCTTCAAACTATGGTACAATATTGCTCGAAAATGAATCGAATATGTACGATGGAATTATGAATAACACGAACGATATTATCAACAATAATAATAGATCCATTCCACAAATATCGTCAAAGAGAACGATGCATGGAGGTTTGTATTGGAATAACGACGAAGCAACAACAACAACAACAACTATTGATAGGAACCATTCTCCAAATACAAAAAGGTTCCTTGTTGAGAACAACGAGGACGATGGACTTAACATGAATAATATTTCGCGAATTACAAATCATGAACAAAGTAGCTCCATTGCCAATTTCCTGAGCCAGTTTCCTCAAAATCCTTCGATTCAACAACAACAACAACAACAAGAAGAAGTATTGGGATCTCTTAATGATGGGGTCGTCTTTCGACAACCTTATAATCAAGTTACTGGCATGAATTGGTACTCTTAAAGATATAAAAAGGCAAAAAATAGTTAGCCCTGTAAAATCAATCGATCAATCAATCATAGATATATTATATATGGATTTCGTTATATTTTACTTTTAGTTAGAATTAATATATAGAATATCTTCTATCTCACATTAACAAATAAGAACATTTATAACAAATAGTGAAACTAAACTATCTACCATTAGATAGACATTTTGTTAGACGTCGGATACTTTTTCAACAACTATATTTAGCGTCTACGGAAAAGGGTCTAAAATACCCTTAAAGTATTGAAAATGGTACAAAATTACCCTTCATCCACCTACTGGCTCCAAAATGCGTTTTTCATCCACCTATTGGCTCCAAAATACCCTTGTCATCCACCTTTGAGTTCGAAATTGACCACTTATTTAATGATTTTAAATTTTTAAACTATTTAAATATTTATAAAATTATATTTTAAAAAAGTGCATGAATTAATTCGGGATGTATTACTGCTTTAAATTTAATCATAAATTTCTAATTCAATCTTGAAAGAGAATCAAATTGAAATAAGCGGCTCAGCATATGTTTAATTGGGGATTCGACTCTGACTCGAATAATTTTGGATGTCATTTTCATTAATTTATAATTTCATTGTGTTTTAGTAGTGTTTATGACGATTTTGATATTATAGTTGAATTATTAATTGAGTGAGGTTTAATTAGTAATGGGTGGGTAGTGGATTGATTTATAAATTACACTAATAAGTTAAATTATAACAAATAGTTGAGCGCCACGTATTTAAAAAAATATTTAAATAGTTTAACTATAAAATCGTTAAATAACTGGTCAATTTTGAACCAAAAGGTAGGTGGAGAGTAATTTTATATCATTTCCAATACTTTGAGGATATTTTAGACCTTTTTCCGTTCCATCTATTCGATTCAAATGATTGCAACAATAAATAAAATTATGATCGACGCAATTATCATTGTTATGATAATCTACAACTTTTACTATGTGCTTGTGGACCTATATAACTTGATATGTTGTTTTGAAGAGTTAAAATAACTAGCTAAAATGAGTTGATTAATTACACTAATTATATATATATATTTTTTTATAAAAGTTAATATATATTGTGTAATTAAAATGATTACACAATATGTTTTGTAATCATTTTTGTACTTAAAAGAATGTTTTACTCCTTTATATGAAACTTCTCATTATTTAAATTTAATTAGATACCAACAAAAATATCGAATACCCAAATAAAAAATAAAATAAGTCTAGGGGAACTAAAAAAAAGTTTTAGTTGATGGAGTATCGTCATTTATTGGAGGAAATTACGTGGTGAATAACGTACATTGGTACTTGTCTTCCTCAAACTTATTATTACGATATAACAGACATTTTATAGTTGATTTGACATAAAATTTAGGGAAAAGGGTCTGATAGACCCCTCAACTTTGTTATTTAGAGCTGATATATCCCTTGTTATGAAAGTGACTCATATATACCCCTATTTGTAAACAAATGGCTCACATATACCCTTTTCCTCTAACGGAAATGAAAAAAATAATAATTTTAATCTAAATTTTTATTATTTTTTTCTAAAAAATATAATACCATATGAGTAAATTTAATCCTTGTCAAACATATTTTTTTTGACTTTTTTTGTTTCAATGACTAATTTATAATTATTATTTTGATAATCAAATTTATTTATGTTTCACTAATATTCTTGTAAAACTTATTGTAGATGACCAAATTTTTTCTTCCAATACGAAATTAAATTACAATATACACAAAAAAAATAGTTTAATTTTTTATTCTTTAAACTAAGGAATGAAAGAAAACAACAAAATAAGAATAAGAAATTCAAATAATTATAATAAAAGAAGTCAAAAAATAATTTATGTATGAAAAAAATTAAAATATACCTTAAGCTTTGATAGAAGAATAATATATACCCCTAAATAATTTTTTTTTAAAAATTAGAAGTAATAAATATAAATTTAAAACTAATTTTTTAACTTCCGTTAAATGAAGGGTATATGTGAGCCATTTTATAACGGCAGGGGTATATGTGAGCCGTTTGTATAACGGTAAGGGCATATATAAGCCACTTTTATAACGAGGGGTATATCAGCTCCAAATGTCAAAGTTGAGGGGTATATCAGACCCTTTTCCCTAAAATTTAATAGCTAATGAGTTAATTTTTTATATATCGTATTTCTTTCAAAATTTATATTTGACATATTACATATGATTTAAAGTTATGGAGATAGACATCAATTGATTTCTCTATGAGGTCAATTTATTTAATTGTATGATGTATAATGTACTCCAATTAAATAAAATTACATAACACATAATTAAGGGATCGGAATTTTAATTAATTAAGAATAAAATAAAAGTTGACAACAATACTAATTAACCTAAATTTTTGTCTTTTTCTCCACATATATTTTAAAGGAAATTTACATAAATATACTGTATTAAAATATTTATCATTTATAGCAATAATATTTTTTTGACTTGATCACTTTAATATATTTACAGTACAATTTTAATACATATTACAACGAACAATTTGTTATTCACATATAATACAAGTTTTATTGATGGTTAATATATCTATATCACATTTTAATACACTAATAATATGATGTGTCAATTTATTGCCAAACAAGCATAATATATTTTCAAAAACATTTATAATACATATATATATTGCATACATAATTCATCTTTTAAATACGTTTTGTATATTTAACATTATTTTGCTATAAATGGTAATAAATTAAAAGTATCGTTCAAATAAATAATTATTTATTAAAATATAATTTTTCCTATATTTTATTTGATGGGCCTAGTATGATCCCTAGCAGTCCCAACAAAGATTTTCTTTTTAAAGCCCAATTCTCTTTTGGGTTACTATTTTGCTGTATCATAAAATTGGTATCAAAATAACAAGACAGGAATTTATAGCTTAATTTGGCTATTAAGATTTTCTTATTTCCAGAATTCAAATTAAAAAATAATATAGTATCTTAATTTATAATTATTTACGTTATTAATATGAATATGCATAACACCTATATTGTATACCAATGTATAATAGATATATAACATCTTATACCATATTATACTGTGTAGATACTTCATTATATTACTTAATATAAATGATTGGAAAAGGTTTAATTTAGAGAGGGTGGAGTATACGAAATTCTACCTCTATTTCATATATGAAGAGGTTATTTTCAATAAACAATCGGTTCAAGAAAAACGTAGATTGAAAAAGAAATGACAGTGGAGAAATCATATCAAAATATTATAGCAAGCATGACAAAGCAGATCAAAAGAGGACGGTGCGTCGGAGTAAGCCGGTGGCTGGCTCGTGTTCGCGGTGCGGACACGGTGCTAAAGTGGCTGAGATGTATACATCAACTAGATTTTGTTCTATTCCACTGTATACCAAGTCTTGGAAGGCTATTGTTTGTAGTTTTTGTGGTGCCATTCTCAAATCCTATACATAAACTCATAACAATAGGTGATGGGTGATTAGTTATATTCCCTTTTTCTCGAGGTTGCGGAGGTAAAATAGATCGATGAAGGATGATTAGTTAAACACCTTCTGATAGAAAAAGAAGATAGTATGTATATCATGTATATAGGTAAAGTATTAGTCATGATTTGCATGCAAATATTTTGAAATATATTTTTCCTCTTTTTTATTTGTACCTTTGAAATCATGATGATCCGCTATGGTTTTTGATTATTATGATAATATATGAGCTAGTTGAACATAACGTAAATTCATACGGATTTGTTATGAGTTACACGTTACAGCTGTAACTCTGCATCATTTGTCATATTTGTCGTTCAACTTGAGGATATTTTAGTCTGAAATATGTTCATTAACCTAATAGAGTCATTTTCAGACAAAATTTAAAATTTAGAGACGATATATAAATAACGGCCTAATGTATATCTTTTCGTGCAAATCACCCACTAGTTTCGAGGGTCGAGTTATTAAAACCAAACATATTCGAATTTTTTTTTAATGTACAATTGTTAATTTGAAAATGGAATAAAAGATGAGCAATTTGATAGAGGAAATAGTTAATTTTTAGCCAATAATTTTTTTTCCTCCTAAAAATATAGAAATATATGAAGAGGAAGGCAGATGAGGACCCAACATTGTTGGTGGCCATGTGCATTTGTATAGAGGAAATGGACAAAATAAATAAATAAAATTATTAAGTAATCAAATTTCTAAATTTTCATTTTTGATTATATAAAATGCGTTTAAATTAGCAGATTAAAAATAATTGATAATATCATATATTAAAAAAATCACGTATAGATATTAAGTATTAAAAAGTATTTTAAGCGTTGAGATTAATTTATCATGTATGTTTATGCATCATTACTCAATAGTAGAAAAAAAAAGAATTAAATTTTACATTCAAAATTAAATAAAAAAGCTTATTAAATCGTCAGATCCCTAATCGCGAAATAAATTTAAAAAAAACATTATTAAATTACCAAATTCCTAAAAACTCCCTTTTTGGCGATGTAAAGCATGTTTAGACTAAGGGTCCGTTTGGATGGGCTTAATAAAAGCAGCTTTAAAAAAGTACTTTTGAAAGTGCTGAAACTTATTTTTAAAAAAAGCAATTATGCGTTTGGATAAAAGTGCTGAAGTTGTTATGTCAAATGTGAAAAAGAAAAATAGAAGAAAGAGATGTTAGGGTTATATGGGTAATTTGGAGATTGTATAAAAATATTAAGGGAAAAAACATAAAAATGTGGTCAACTTAAAACAGCTTATAAGCTAAAAAAAAAAAGCACCCCTACCCCAGCTTTTAACTTTTGGCTTAAAATAAGTTTTTTTTAACTTAAAATAAGCTATTTTGAGTATTGCCAAACAGTTAAATAAGTCAAAAACCAGCTTTTAAGTCAGTTTAACCAGCTTTTAAGCTGAGCCAAACAGGCTCTAACTAATTAAAAACAATAGGCATATATTATGTATCAAAAAACTATTTTATACGATGAGACTAATTTTATCATGTCTAATTATGCAGCAGATTAATTTATTTAATTAAAACAACATCCATAAAGATTTTTCTTGTTAAAATGAGCGAAATGCAATTAATATATTCGAGTTTGAGTTTTGAAAATGAAAACGCATGAGATAACTCTCGAGCCATGTGAATTCAAATATGGTCTATGATGAGATACTTTTTCCGTCCATTTTTAATTGTCATAATATTTTTTTTAGAGCCAAATTATAAGAACTTTAACTAACATTTTACAAAGTAATTTTTTAATCGATATGCAAAAAATTACAATTTATGTACCTTTGTATAGTTTTTGAACATATATTTTTTTTGCTTTAAATCAAATTAATGTAATCTAATTTAACTTTGAAAATTAATCAAATTGATTTTCGAAAAACGCAACATGACAAATAAAAGTAGCCGAATATTGTAGTTAAATTTAATTTTGAAAATTAATCTAATTGATTTTCGAAAAATGCAGCATGACAAATAAAAGTAGACGAATATTGTAGTTAAATTTAATTTTAAAAAATTAATCTAATTGATTTTCAAAAAGCGCAATATGACAAATAAAAATAGACGAATATTGTAGTTAAATTTAATTTTAAAAATTAATCCAATTGATTTTCAAAAAACGCAACATGACAAATAAAAATAAATAACATATCATAGTTAAAAATATGAATCTATTTACATAAATAAAAAAAAAATCTTATTAAAAACATACTTTCCATAAATGAGCCCTCCAATACGCGTATCTAGACGGCCTCCAACAAGCCAAACAAAGCAGAAAAAAACAATTTTATATATATATAGAGCCGCGTATTCTGAGGTCCCAGCAAGGCCTAATTATACAAAGAGGCTACTGCATTTTGGTTAATTTTCATGCAAAGACTAATTATACTAAGTTTAATGATCATTTGGAAGAACTTTAATGGCAAATTCAACTTAATTAAACTGGAAAGGCTGCTTGAAAACAGCTGTTTCAAATTGGGTATGGAAGTGGGGTTTAGAAATTCATTCTTGTGGTCCCTTTTTTGCTATCCACAGCCTGTTAAGAGCTTGCTGTTGGAGTAACCACTGAAAAAGCTCTTGTTCATTGTGTTTTGAATTGGGTATTTCTTGTTTCTTTCTTCATTTTGGTTTACACCCATGTCAAAAGATTCAATTTTTAATAATGGAATTGCACTAAAAAGCTCTTCTTGATTGTGTTTGAATTTGGGTCTTTCTTGTTTCTTCCTTTTGGTTTACACCCATGTTAAAAGATTCAATTTTTCAAGGGGAAGTTCTACTTGATAGCTCTTCTTGACTCTGGTTTTTATGGTGGATTTGCACTAAATAACTCTTCTTGATTGTGTTTATGTGGTGGCATTTAGGTGACTTGACTTAGCTCTTGTTGTTTCTTCCTTCTGGTTCACACCCTTTTCAAAAGATTCAATTTTCATGTTGGAGTTGCACTAAAAAGCTGTTCTTGATTGTGTTTTCATGGTGGCATTGAGGTAATCTGAATCAAGTCTTCTTGTTTCTTCCTTATGGTTCACACCCTTTTCAAAAGATTCAATTTTTCATGGTGGAGTTGCACTAAAAAGCTGTTCTTGATTGTGTTTTCATGGTGGCATTGAGGTAATCTGAATGGGGTCTTCTTGTTTCCTCCTTTTGGTTCACACCCTTTTCAAAAGATCTAATTTTTTATGGTGTGGTTGCTCTAAAAAGCTGTTCTTGATTGTGTTTTCATGGTAGCATTGAGGTAATCTGAATGGGGTATTCTTGTTTCCTCCTTTTGGTTCACACCCTTTTCAAAAGATTTAATTTTTCATGGTGTAGTTGCACTGAAAAGCTCAACTGTATTTTCATGGTGGTATTGAGGTAACCTTTCTTCTGGTGTACTGTTCGAACTCGGTAGATAATTGGCACACCCCTTGACCCTTCTCCACTTAAATACGAGGCTTTTTGTTATGTCCGCCTTACTCACAAATCAGGCATAGGCATTGCACTCTTACCACTGAACCAAAGCATCTAGGAGCATTTCCAATCTGAAGTCTAGAGGAAAGTTGTTCGCTCAGATCTTGTCTAACACTATTTTTTTCGTGCTTTTGGTGTTAATCATAGTTTATTGGTAGTTTCTTCTGATTTTTCAGTTAAGAAAGTTTTTTTTCTGTATCAAGATTGCTCTAGATAGTTCAGAAAGATCTATAATGCTATAGTGTAGGTTCTTAGTATCATCTGGGGAATTGGAACTTAGCTTATTCAGCCACTCTCATATCGACATTGAGGCGTAGTTATTGTTGTTGTTGACCTAACTGGAGCAGTGTTAGAAAGAATTGAAGTCCAGTGTTTACCAATAGGCTCTTTAGAATGGTAGACTTGAGAACAATGTCATGGATGCCTTTGGTGCTAGCAGTAGTTGTGTCCATCTTTTTGATTCAGGATTCGAATGCTGCATTCGTTCCTGCTGATAACTACTTAATCGCGTGTGGATCATCACAAAATGTGACCTATATCGGCCAGACATATGTTCCCGATTCACTCCATTCTTCAGCTGCTTTAGAAAATAAGGAAGATTCTATTGCTGCAACATCCAATTCAAGTGCTCCATTTTCGATCTATCAGTCAGCCAGAATCTTCCATACTACGGCGTTTTACAAGTTCGATATTAAGCAAGAAGGCCACCATTGGATCCGTCTCTATTTCTACCCTCTTCCAGGGCACAACTTAACGTCTGCCTCAATGACAGTGGTCACGGAAAATTTTGTTCTGTTGAACAATTTCAGTTTCAAGAGCTATAATGGAACATACCTTCTTAAGGAATACGCGATCAATGTCAATTCAGATAGTTTGATTCTTGCTTTGATCCCTTCAAACAACTCCGTTGCATTTATCAATGCCATTGAAGTTGTATCAGTACCTAATGAGTTGATCCCTGATCAAGCAGTGGCTGTATCTCCCGTAGCACCTTTCAGTGGCCTTTCTGGACTAGCCCTTGAAACTGTTTATCGTCTAAACATGGGTGGTCCTCATCTCACTGCTCTGAATGACACCTTGGGAAGAACGTGGGAGAATGATGTGAAGTACCTTCACGTCAACAGCTCTGCAGTGAATGTTTCAGTTATTCCTTCAAGCATAAAGTATCCGGCTACTATGACTCCTGAAATAGCACCAAATTGGGTTTACGCTACTGCTGAAACTATGGGAGATGCAAATGTACCTAACGTGAATTTCAATATCACTTGGGTGTTCCCTGTTGATCCGAACTTCATGTACTTCATCCGAGTACATTTTTGTGATATTGTGAGCGAATCTCTGAATAGTCTTCTGTTCAACCTATATGTTAATGATGACGCTGCTCTATTGGACCTAGACTTGTCAAACTTAGCTGGAAATTTGGATGTACCGTTATACAAGGATTTCGTCTCCAATTCCTCAGTAAACTCGAGTATTCTGACAGTGAGTGTTGGTCCAGACACGAGTGCGGATTGGATAAATGCAATTATGAATGGACTGGAAATCATGAAGATTAGCAATGAAGCTAGAAGCTTGAGTGGGGTTCAATCTGTTGAGACTCTCTTTGTGTTGCCTCACAAAAAGAAAAAGATAGGTATCATTCTTGGTTCTGCCTTAGGAGCATCAGCTGTTGTCGCGCTTATTGCATTGTGTTGTTGCTTTTTCATAGCTCGACGATCAAAGATTTCCAACCAAGGACACTCATGGATTCCGTCCTTGTATGGAAACTCTTTAACTTTGACGAAAACAACAGCTTCTAGGGGAACAGCAAGCTGCATCTCCCTGGCTTCACCGAATGTTGGACGATTCTTTAGTTTCCAAGAGATAATGGATGCAACTAACAAATTCGACGAAAGCTTGCTTCTTGGTGTTGGTGGTTTCGGTAGGGTCTATAAAGGAACAATGGAAGATGGAACTAAACTTGCTGTCAAAAGAGGAAACACAGGATCTGAACAAGGCCTAGCTGAATTTCAAACTGAGATTGAAATGTTGTCCAAACTTCGCCACCGTCACCTCGTGTCTTTGATTGGTTATTGTGATGAGAGGTCTGAAATGATTCTTGTATATGAATACATGGCAAATGGTCCTCTCAGAAGTCATCTTTATGGAACAGATCTCCCACCTCTCTCGTGGAAGCAGCGTCTTGAGATTTGTATCGGTGCTGCAAGAGGGCTGCATTACCTCCACACAGGTGCAGCTCAGAGCATCATTCACCGCGATGTCAAAACCACCAACATACTTTTGGATGATAACTTTTTGGCTAAAGTTGCTGACTTTGGTCTTTCTAAAGCCGGACCAGCTCTAGATCAGACGCATGTCAGTACTGCCGTTAAGGGTAGCTTTGGGTACCTTGATCCTGAATACTTCCGGAGGCAGCAGCTCACGGAGAAATCAGATGTCTACTCATTTGGTGTTGTTCTAATGGAAGTTCTCTGCACCAGACCAGCATTGAATCCGGTCCTTCCACGAGAACAAGTTAATATAGCCGAGTGGGCTATGATTTGGCAAAAGAAAGGCATGTTGGATCGGATAATGGACCCGAATCTCAAGGGGCAGGTTAACCCAGCCTCCCTGAAAAAGTTCGGTGAGACAGCTGAAAAGTGTTTGGCTGAGTATGGAGTTGATAGACCTTCAATGGGAGACGTGTTATGGAACCTAGAATACGCTCTTCAGCTTGAAGAAGCCTCATCAGCGTTGACAGAGCCTGATGATAACAGTACGAACCATATCCCTGGCATACCATTAACACCAGTTGAGCCATTCGACAACAGTGTTAGCAATATCCAAGGTATAGTTAACTCAGGAACAGATGATGATGCAGGGGATGCTGCTACTAGTTCCGTTTTCTCTCAGCTGGTAAATCCGCGGGGAAGATGAGAAGCAATACTCCCTCGTATACGTGCTTGAGTATAGTATTGAATCAAATTTTCCCTACTAAAATGTTTCGAGTGTGTATTGTTTTTCATTGATGTACCTAGCATATACGATGAAAATCATCGTTCAAATACTGCAAGTTGTAGTATTGTTTCCATTGTTAGGTGATACATTGCATCTGATAGATAGTCATATGAATATGTATTTGTAAAAGCACTATAATTGTATCCATTCACAGATAATAAATATTAAGCATATGTTGCCTTTCTCTTCTATTTGTTACTCCCTTCGTTTCAATTTGTTTGTACCTCTATCCTTTTAGAGTGACGAGAATATTGGCACGCCTATTAAGGTAGCTCCACTATCGACAATGAAAACATTGCCCGATACATATTCTGAAGAAGCATGGATTAAGTACCTCACGAGTGATGTTAAAGCCGGATCTGTCGTTCCAATAGTTCTCAGAGGAGCAGTCCTAGAAATAACACCATGGAACCATTTCTGTTGAATAAGGCTCTCTGTCATCTCAGACTTGAAAATGCCTGGTGCTATTGAGTTTACTCTTATCTTGTGTACTCCTAGTTCGAGAGCCATCATCTACCATCATTCAAATACAGTCAAACTTCTCTATAATAATCGTATCAACAAAAGTTTCGAAACACTAGCTAGTGTGTACCTCGGTGAGCTTGTCAAGAGCCATCTTTGAAGAAGCGTAAGCAACACCTCCAGGTACTAGTACCCGATTCAGACCAGCGACTGAAGACACATTAATAATAGATCCTCCGCCCTGTTTAACATCGATCATGTGTCTACAAACATATTTCGACACCAACCATGCTCCTCTGAGATTCGTCGTAAAAGTATGTTCCCACTCCTCCTCTGGCAATTCCAGCGAAGAACTTACACAGCCTATAAATATGATCAAACAACAACCAAAAAAGTTCTGTTACAATCAAACCTCTCTCTAAAGACGTAGTTTTGTCTACATATGTTTTGAATGTTATAGAATTTCAATAAGAGGTTCAAAATTAATAGAATTAGACACATGGAGTAGCCGAAGGGGGTTCGACATCTATCTTATATAGAAAAAATATTATTTTAACCATGTATAATTAATTTTCCATAGAAGGGGGTTCGGATGAACCCCTGTAACCAAAGGTGGCTCCGCCCCTGCCTCTGACCCATTTTATGTGGCACTTTTCGTTTTTCGAGAGTCAAGCAGTTTAACTTGATCGCACATTTGCATATGGAATTTACAAATTTTTTCAAACGAAATTTAGTATATTTGTAAACTACGTAAAGAGTACTATAAGTCACAATAATTAAAAGAACTTATAAAAAAAATTATGATCAAAAGATACACTTGTTTGAATCTCGAAATGCAAAAAGTGTCACTGGTGACAGATGGAGTATTGTATAAACAAATAATATAACATAACATGAAAATCAATTCCAAAGAAAGACTCGATTGTTTCAAAGACGTAACCAGAGGCGAATCTACAATCGATCGAGTCTGAGATTATATCGAGTGGATTGGTTGAAAAGTAAAGGATAGATTGAAAGATGATAACAACAGTACTCAAACCTCTAACCCCAGCATTGTTGATCAAGACATCAATATGTCCAAAGGCATCCCAAGCTATTTGCACAGCAGCCTCAATGTTACCACCATTGGCAGTAACGTCTAGCTCGACAGCGATTGCATTTGGGGCTGGATCTAATTCAGAATTACCACGACCATTAATGTGGTTGCAGAGAGATTTCAGCTTGTCAACACGACGAGCTGAAACAATGATCCTGCAACCCGCTTTCGCCAAGTCGATACTCAACTCTCTCCCGATTCCTGACGATGCCCCCGTCACCATCACAACTTTCCCGCTCAGCCCGTCTTGCCACAGCGCCATTTTGTTTTCTTTCAGAGAGCCATTGTGCAGTAATAGCTGTTTTATATAAGCAGAGAGGCATTATGTTTATATTTGAAAACTCACAGATACACTTATATTATATTAAGGTCGTATTGTTTTTGAACTTATTTTATTATTAATTTTTTATACCTTCTCGGCCTATGCACTGCTTGAAATAAAAAAAATCAATCAGTGTTGGGTCCACAGGATAGTGCCACGTATGTCAAAGAAGAATAGAAAATTACTTATAAAATAAGTTCGAAAGATAATAGGACCTTAATATAATATAAGTGTATCTCCGAGATTTCAAATATAGATTGACGGGATACTCGTGCGTTTTCTTTTTTTATCTTTGGTACACATTCAAACAGCACGAATTGTACTATTTAAGTGTGTGGACCAAAAATTTTCACTATTCAAAAACACATAAAAAAGCATGATTGATTAACCAATCCATAAGTCAAGAAATATGGGTCCAGCATATTGTATTCAAAAACACCTTGTAATGCATTTAGTTGATACCAATGAAAAAAGGCACGGAGAAAAGAATACAAATATATATGTTTAGTTCACAGTCTAATATTTATAAACATGAATGATAAATATATAACCAAAGAAATTAAAAAAAAAATTATGAAAAAGTAAAACATCAACTATTTAGTGTCTGAAGAGGATTATTGGCAAGGAAACATTATCTTAGAACCTTGATGACGATATAAAGTGAGGCGAAGCGCTTAACATGTTTTGAGCCTCGCTTCAGGACTTAAGTGCACTTAAAGCGCGTCTTTGATAACACTATACAATAGCTTGTACAATATCACTCTCTCCGTTCCAATTTACATGACACAATTTGGATCGAGACAGATTTTATGAAAGAAATGAAAGTTTTGAAACTTGTAGTCTTTCACATTTCATTTGTATTTGCATGGCTATATTAACTTTAGAAACTTGTGGCTTTAAACATTCCATAACATTTGCAAAAAAGACGAAATTCCTTATATTTTCCTAGTTTCACAAAAGGAAGAATTAAGGGAGAAAAGGTAGAATTTTTTACCAAATTAAGTCATTATATAAAATAATACATTTTTTAAAACTTTACAAAACTAGTATAAAAGTATTTCACAGTGACGTTTTAGGGTATATTTCATTTTTCAAAACTAATGGCGTCAGGTTGATATATGTTACTGTAAATAACATTATACTGTGAGTAACGTATATTAATCTAACGCCGTCAGTTTTTTTTAAAAAAAATATACCCTAAAACGTTACTGTGAACATGTGTATACTAGTTTTGTAAAATTTAAAAAAAAACGTATTATTTTGGTGAATTACTTTATACGATGGCTTAGTTTGGTCAAAACTCCAAAAGATAAATAGTTAATGGTTTCCAAATTTAGCAATGTATTATATATTTTTTGACTTTGCGTTGCATCATAGGCTGAAGCAGCTAAAATCTTAAGAGTTCGATTCAATGCAAACATTTTTATAATTAACGAAAAATGTAAATATGTTCTAGTTTTTGCACGACAAGACATTAATATTTCCAAATATGACGAAAGATATGTGCATAATATTTACAATAGTTCGAGGTATATTTATCTTTTTTTCTCATATTTTTATAATCATAATATTCAAGTTAGTTAACACTTACCCAACTAATTATATGGAACATTTATTATTATCTTCGCTGATGATTTAAATAGATAAATAAAATAATTGATAATCGAAGTCATGAAAAGATAATAATTCAAATTTTCATTAGCAACTCAATACTTGATAAAAAGGGGTTATGAACCTAATTAAGAATAAAATACATAAACACACTTCTTAGTGTATAGTAATATTGTATAAACATTATGGTAATGAAAAAATATGGTCTACCAAAATATAATACTCCACGTGACATTTTTAAGGCCACAAGATTACAGGACAATTTTGTATATTTGACATAACTTTAATTTATGACCACATGATCAAAAATCTTGTCTATTTTCTTAAACTCTGTGTCAAGTCAAACTAAATCATTCTTTGTGAACTGGAGGGAGTATTGATATTATACGAGAGTTACCAACATTTATAGTCGCGCACTGATGGAATGTTTCACCTTTAACAAAAAATTTCGAGTTTGAGCCTTGGTATTAGAGTCGTCAAAATGAGCTTGACCTGCGAGGTCGATCCAACCCAACCTTTGAATTAAGTGGGGTTGGGCCTAATTTTTTTGACCCATTTAGGAACGAAACTTTTTAGCCCAGCCTCACTTGGCCCGCTAGCCTCAGAGGCCAGCCCGTGGGCCATGAATATTTAAAAATATTATATATACATATATATTTAGTAGTGTTTTATTTGTAAATGTTTTATCATTAAATATGTTACAACCATAAAAAAATCAAGTCTTTTAACCTAGTTTTTTTTTTGTTTGAGAAGAATGTTTGAATGATCAACATTTTTCCGCTAAATCTTACGTTGACTATTATGTATCTTGGTAAGCATTCATCAAAGTGTGAGATTCATAAATGTACTTATATAAGTATTTGTTGAAGTGTGATTTATAAATGAAAATTTGTATGTATTGATGTCCTGTTTATAGACGTCAACATTTGATTTTTTTAGATACTCCTTCTAAGAGAATAATTTTGTTCATTTTTTGGTTAAAGAGTCACCTGCCCCAACCCGTGGCCCGCTAAGCGCTGAATTGGCTGCTATTTTATTGGCCCTTTAACTAAAAGGGTAAACCCACCCCAACCCATTTAACTTTCCAACCCGTTAAAATTGGGTTGGGTCAGCCCATTTTAACAGCTCTACTTGGTATTGAGAAAATTGTTACTACTAAAAAAGACAAGAAAAATTACATAAATTAATACATTTTAAAAAATAATTACTGATTTTAGCGATATTTTTTGTTTATTACCATTTATAGTAATATTATGACAAATCTGTAAAATATATTAAAAATGAATTATGTATGCAATGTATTTGAATTATAATTGATTTTGAAATATATTATGTTTGTTTGATAAAAAATTGTCACATTGATAATAAGTGTATTAAAATGTGTGATAAATGTATTATCCATCATTAAAACTTGTATTATATGTGAATAATAATTGTTCTTTATAATATATACTAAACTTGTATTATAAATAAATATTAAAGGAAAAATTACATAAATTAGTACATTTTAATAAATAATTACTGATTTTAGCAATACTTTTTATTTATTACCATTTATAACAATGCTATGTTAAATCTACAATATGAATTAAAAGTGAATTATGTATGCAATATATATGAATTATAATTGTTTTTTGAAATATATTATGTTTGTTTGGTAAAAATTTGACATATTGTATTATAAGTGTATTAAAATGT